GAAAGAGTGAATGATGTGTCCCAAAAGTGGTATGAAAACCAAGAGATTTGTATATGTACGGAAACATCCAGCCTCCCCAGAACTGGGTGGCTTAAATTTCTTTTGCCAAGAAGTATGTATCACAGTAAAGAATTTTAGAGGTATTGAATACACAGTGCCTTTTTCCAGATGAATTTAAAAATATTTGTTGTCAGATGACCTGTCTGCCTGTTGATTAAATCGCTCCCTTGGAAGTCTGGGCACACAGAGAGGAAATGACGGCCTGGGCTGTTTGCTTCCTAATCCCTTGTTTGATTTTGGTGTAATAAAAACAAAAAGCAACACCAAGCTTTTAGAATCCCCTTTGTTTCGTTTCAGCGTTGGCTGTTCAGTATGTAACATTGCAGCGGGTGGGGGAAAGGGACATGAAATGTCCAATATTCATCACTGATTTCCAACGGCGAGCTGAGGCTCAGTCATCAAAAATTAAATTATTCTGACCTGTAACACATTTCAAGAAGAATCTTGAAATCAGTTTTATCTGGTATAGTTTCAAAGTAGGTTCAGTCTTTTTGTTTGAAGACAGACTATGATCAGCTGGAAGTCATAGTTCCAAGTTCATGTTCCCTGAAAATATCAAACTTTTTAAATTATTTTTTACTTTAAGCATTATGCGGTTTTAGAAAACTGTAAATGTGGGGGAGGGTTCAGATCTAGAAAGTGGGTGTTCATCATCTCCTACTCACTGCTTCTGCAAAGTATATTCCAACACAGTACACTTCTTCCAGACACTGGGATATATGCTCCTGGCAGAATGAGCAATTCACTCCTATGCAGTGTAACTACTAATTTCACTTGTTTCAGCTAACTACAAAATCAAAAATAAATTAACTTGCTTTTGAGAACTTCCCCTTCTCGGTGCGAATGGTGGAGTGAGCGTGTGTACTGGCTGTTGGTGATGAGACGTGTGGAGGGGGCTCAGGACACTGCTGGCAGATATGTTGCCCAGCTTCAATTTGCTGCTGTCCTTAACGAGGATTTGACCCAGACACGCAATTGTTGCTGTGCAGCTCAGGCCAGAGTTTGCTGCAAATCAGGATGCAGCTTGCTGTCACAGCTTGCAAAATGAGTTTGTATGGAGCCTGTCTGCAGTGTCCCTGGCTCCTCCAGCCAGTGCTGTTATGAGGCCTCTGCTTTGAAAAGTGCAAAATTCATCTGCGCTTTTGCTCTTTCAAAATTTCTATGCATTAGATTATAACCCTAGCTTTTTCTTTTCAATCCTAATAAGGACTTTTTTTTCTTTTCTGAGTCTCTGTCTTTTGGGTGAGTGGGGAAGGAGAAAAGGTGTTTTAGACAGTAGCAGCTGAATAATTCTTCCCTTCTATCTTTTGTAAGCTCTTTATTTCAGAAGGGCACAGACTGGACTCAAAATTTGGCAAAGAAAGGAGGATTTAAGCACCTAAATTCTGCCAGGACTAAAACTGCAATCCCCAAAGCATCTTGCTCCACTGGTGCCTGAAAGTGGAAGCACCTTGGTTTGCTGAGTGCCTTCTTGATGAACTTGGAAGCTTTTCCGTTGCCTCCAATTTGGCTCATGTGGCTGCCTGGTGTATTGTAATCCAAGCAACCTTGCTTCCCAGCTAATCCCCCCCCCGGGATCCAGAAACCGAGTAATGAAACGTTTTGGCCAAGGGCCTGATCTGATAGATGCTTTCAGAGAGAACCATTTGTACAGCAGTAGGGCTGGGCTCCATGCAAAACACATCTGTGGGTTTGGAGAGCCACGGGAACACCAGACTGCCGAGGAAAAAAATGAACTTCCATTCCCCACTCTATCAACAGCCACTTGGTGCTTGTTTCGGTTATCGCCAACATTGAAGAGAGTTGGGTCTCCTTTGGTTGGGTAAGGAAATATGTGGGTGCCTGTTTCTAGAAGGTGACTCCA